GACTCTGCAGAGTATCAGTGATCTTATCAATGTCCGCAACCGTAAGCTCATTGCCGTTCGCATCAACGCCGAGGCCGCGGTCATCATCGTAGTCGGCGCCAACATCATCACGATAATCGGCCCAGTAACCTTGATTGCTGCCACCATCGCCGAAACCATCATCGCCAGCATCCTCTCCGAAACGATCCCGAACCTCCTCATCTAACGGGGCTTCAAGACGCTCATCGAGAGATCGCAGGGGCGGAGTGCGTGGGGAGGAGAGCGTGGCAGGCAAGGCGGGGCTGGTCTCCCTTCTGCGGGCGCGTCCCCTTTCTTGTGTGGCTTTCGTCCCGTAGCCTGTCCTCTGGAGCTGTCTGGTTTTCTTCCCGTAGTTTGTCCTCTGGGGCGGCCAGGAAAGGGAGTCTTACAAACTTTGCACTTCTGGCAGGGTTTGGTGTCGGGTATCCAAGGGACTTTCCCAGCATCGCGGCAAGATAAGCACACAATATATCCCATTCCCCGCGGCCGCGCGCGCGCGGTCAGCTGTCGACCAAGGGCGGGCTCTCGAGCGTGCCCTTTAGCAGCGACCAAGCTCCAAGCCTCAGGGCAAGGTTTGGAATTTGAGCCCAAAATTGCCACGGATCCATGTAACATTCCGCAGTTTTAAGCTTAACTATAGCACGTCGTAAGGACATGGCAACCGAAACGCCCGGCCCTGCCTACGAACATGCCTGGTGGCGTGACAGGGTAGCGTTTTTGTCTGAAAGAGGCCGGATGGAACATGATGGAGGAGGATGTGGTGGATGATGATGATGGGGAGGAGGAGGAGGACGAAGAGGAGGAAGAGGACGGGGAGAAGGAGGAGGACGATCAGGACGAGGAAGGACATTTTGTTGCTGATGTTGAGGATGATGATAGTGCTGGTGATGAGCCGGAGGAGGAGAAGGAGGAGGCGGAGGAGGAGCACGAACTCGGCAACGGCTATGAAGGTACCACCACATTGGGCATGCAAATGAACGCACCTCCGGAAGATTTAGGGGTCAAGGTCTTCAGGGGGCGGCGCAACCTACGGCGCTCCCACGGAAGAGCCCAGAGAGACTCAGCCTCCTCCCGAAAGCTGAACCCGAAACGAGCACGGCCTCGCATGAGGGCGACCCCCGTACCACCCCTCCCACCTTCGCCAGACGAGACAGCCAGAGAACCTTTGGGATGCGGCGGCACGAGCGAGGGAGGGCCGCCCAGACCCATGACCCATCTTGGCAGACACATAGTCAAAGGCACGATCCGATAAACACGGTGGCTCGAGATACACCTGCATCACAACCTTTCTCAGAGGGGTGGCGGCCTTGCGAGATCCAAGTCGATTGCCTCTCACGGCCAGGGGAGCGATGCCCCGAATAATCTGATGGCGCAGACGTTTCACCGCCATGGCCCCCCCCCCCCCAAAACAGCACAGACGGAGCCGCAAGTAGTGCAGTGAGCCTTGAGCCTGCCAAGACGCGTCGGCAACTTCGGCCTCCTCGATCGTGTGATCTCTGGCAGCCCATACATGGACGTCGGGCCACTCGGCCCGCGGTACCCCTTCCCCGGGCCCAGCCGGTCCAGGACCGCCTCCCACCCCGCCCCCGTTCCCCCCGCCCGTCCCGCCATCTCCAGGAGGAAGAGGAGTAGAGGAGGAGGAGGAGGAGGAGGAGGAGGAGGAGGAGGAGGAGGAGAGAGGAGGGAGGAGGAGGAGGAGGAGGAGGGGGAGAGGAGGGAGGTTGGGGTCGCGGGCGAGCTTATTATACTTTAGCAAATCGAGGCTGACATGATCGAGCTACTTGCGAGCCACAGTCCAAGGCTTCCGTTCGGCTGATATTTTTTTCAACAACCAGGGGAGTTCGAAGCAACCTTCCATCAGGAGTCTGTCAGCCTCAGGGATGCTACCAAGCTTGGCACCTTGCTTAATTAGCGTATTAATCGGCCGCTTTATTGTATTGAATGGGCGGGCAAGTTGTCATAAGTCTGCTGCCACAGATGGGTCGCACCGTTGTCGGGGTTGACGGCCGAGGGATGTTCCAAGACATGCCTAAGAGTCCCAGCATAATCCCCATTGATGTGCCCCCAGGGAGAACCACAGCATGGCGCATGAGGGACACGATAGCATAGTCCTCACAGTCGCGAGCAACCTGCGAGGGAACCTCAGTCAGGGTCACGCTCCCCCATATCGCACGATGGCCATTACCCCACCCGTCCGTCACGATCAGCGCCCACCCCGTCGATCGAACCCTGGGCAACGCTGGCTCGTAGCACGAGCCGTCAGGAAAGATATGATAACCAAACAGTGGGGTCAGACTGGACATACCTGTTCAGCAACTCCTGAGCCTGAAGCGAGAGCGCTGACATACCTCGCAAACAACTCCTGGACCTGATAGGACATACCTCGAACGATCAGCCTTACTACGCAGGTCAGAGCGCAGGGAATCACCACGCCACGGCGAGTGAGCTGGACGACCAAAGCGGCGGTGGAACACGGTCCCTGGGACAGCCTGGCATAACAACCGCAGGGGAGAGATATTCTGACCGGCATCGGCGAAGGGCTGCCGACACCAACACCAGTTGGCAATCAAGCTGTGAAAGTAGTGGCGGCAATGATCAGACCAGACCGACGACTGACGCGAGATCAGATCCGGGGCCCGCTTGAGGCAAATAGGGCATCGCTACTCCGAACCAAAATCGCATTGCCTGAGCTGCTCCTCTAGCGTAATGGCCTCCTCGCGCGCTTCAGGCACTCGCCGGGCGAAGGAGCAGGCGAAAACACCGACAAGACCCATGAGCGACCGGCTTGGTCGATCAAACCTCGCTGGGAACATCCAATTTCCAACCACTCCGACCAAGTGTCAGCACAAGGGCAGCGGCGGGTTGTTTTGCGGATCCCCAGGGCTTGAGTTCGCTCTCAGACAGGAGTGTATCTGCAAAGGCGGATTCAAAACCCGTGTTGGTGGCGCTACGATGTCACCAGCACGAGAAACCGTCTTGACAGCATCCACCGCCGTTGACACCACCAGAGGGTCTCTCTGAGGGGCCCCGCAGAGGAGGAAGGCGTGGCCAAGAGAGGAGCCAGGTTGGAGGGGGCCGCAGCTTTGTGAGCAGATTCCCAAGACCCACAATGTGCGCCCCCCACGGGCCTTCGCGACTGGCCCAGACCTGTGCGCCCGAGACGCCTTCCGCCCCGCCTCAATCCTCTGGAGCCGAGTCGCTGCAAGTGACGAGGCTGGGAGGCGCTCGTTTCGAGTAGGCGCTCGACGGGCCCTGCCACATCAGTCGCATCCCCGCGGAGGTCGCGATGGGTGCGGGCGGGAAAGTATTCGTCGAACGGCCAGGCAAGATCCTCGAGCAGTGCCTCGAGCAGCGTTTTCGCAAAGCTGAGCAGCAGCCCGAGCTTCTTCGTCTCCACGGTAAAGATTGTGGCCACCACGTCGTCCACTAGGTTCAGCGGCTGGCACACAGGCGTCTCCACAGCGACGGAACGGAGCATGCGCAAAGTCAAGAGCTTCACCGTTCCCGTCGCACAGCTGCACTCCGCGGTCGCGGCGCTGTTGGGCAGTACGACCCGCGAGGTGGCGCCGAGCCAGCGGGCCCGACGAGGGCCGCGGTTGCCCGCGCAGAGGCACCCCAGCAGCTGCTCGTCGAAACTGAAGTGGCGACCAGCAGATCGGATCGCAGCGTGCAGTCGGTTCTCGTAGAACTTGCTGATATCGAAGTGCAGCGTGGCACCGACGAAGCCGTGGCGCTTCGCATGCACAGCGAGGAGGTTGTGGATGTGCGCCGCACGGTCCGCAGTCGTGTCCCCAGAATTGCCCCAGAAGAAGGTGGCGTCCACGCTGACCCCGCATGCTCGCACCTGCCGCTGGCCCGTGGCCAGAGCGCCATAAGGCCAATGCGCATGCGGCCCACCTCGGGTGGCGGCTTGAGAATGAACACCAACGTCGTGGCCCAGATGTCGGGCACCACCGCTGAACTCTCGAACTGGTTCAGGATAGCAGTGAACCGAATGGCCATGGCGTCCGAGAGCTGCCCCAGGAGACGGGGCTGGAATAGAGACCCATCGTTTAGCAACCAACCTCGTCCATATTTGAAACTGTTGCAGACTTGCTAGACGAGCTTGCACGGCGCTAAAGCGATAACCACATTTTGAAGAGGAGTCGCCCTCCATCCTTGAAGCTGCTGTACATTTTCAAGACGACTGTTCGCGTCGCTCACGCGATAACCACATGTTAAAAAGGAATCGCCTTCCATCCGTGAAGCTGCTGCAGAGTTTGAAGACGCATGTGCGCGGCACTCAGGCGAGGGACACATTTTGTAAACCACCGTCATCATCCTTGAAGCTGTTGCACATTTCAAGGGTCAGGATCTTAAAATGGTGAGAGAGTCTCATGCGAAGTGCCTGGCCGGACCGACACGTCTGGGAGCGACAGGGAGGATCTATTCATAAGGCACAGGGATGGAGGAAGGAACAGTGGGAAGGGCCGCTGAGATCATTCTGCCCAAAGTGCGGCACCCTCCTCCTCCTTCTCCTCCTTCTCCTCCTCCTCCACCACCTCCTCCTCGTCCTCCTCTCTTCATCCCTCCTCCTCGCCCCCCTTCCTCGTTGCCTCCGTCTCCCTCCCTTCTGCTCCCGCTCCTGCTGCTGCTGCTGCTGCTGCTCTTCTTCCTCCTCCTCGTCCTCCACATGCACAGAGCTCCCATTCCCGATTGCGCAGCAAAGGAGGAGTCAAATCCTGCAACTGCCATTTAGGGACCAAGGCCCTCTAGGACACCCCAGTCAGCAGATAGAAAAAGGATGCCCCCTCTTCCCCTCCTTCCGAGGCCATCGACGTCGTGTTCCTTCACCGCGCGAACCCCCAGAGGTCTTGACCAGTTACCAGGACCTGCTTTTCATGCTCATCCGTTTCTGGCGGTCCTGGGGCATGGCGAGGGACCCCAGGGTCCGAACATGTCACAAAACAAACTTTTTCGCGACCCGAGGGGGTCTGGGTCCCCTTCCCTCTCTCCTCTCCCTCCTTCCCTCCCTCCCCCCCTCGCCGGCGGCCCCGCCGCTGGCCCCGCCGGCGCCCAATGGCAGCGGACGGCGGGGCCGCGGCAGCGGTCTCGGGGCCCCGGGCGCGCGGGCGGCGGCTGATCGCCGCGGCAGGCGGCGCCCGCCGGGAGGGAGCGGGGATTTCGCCGGAATTCGCGGATGCACACGGAGGTCCGAGTGGGAGCGGAGGAGGTAAGGGGTGGAACATAGACCAACGCCGTCACCCTTTCCCTCGTCGCCACGGCTGGATTAACTTCGAAGTCCTGGTGTGGCAGCAGCGAGATGAGCGGATGCTTTTGCCTTGAGCCAAATCGGCAAACGACAGTACTGTCCTCTCTGGCTGACCGCTGCATCTGAAACGAACGAGTTCCCAAACTCGTTCTTACAACATGATCAACAGAAAAGATCATCAAGCTAAACCTATAATACCGAAATCAGGAAGCCTGTCACATGGGTCAAGCTTTCTCCTAGGTTTAGCTTCCCCGGATATAAAGCAGTAACTGTACACAGCAAGTCAGACACCCTGGAAGAACAGGATGGGCTAAGAAGGAGAGGGAGGAAGAGAGGTCGTCCCGGAGGCCAACCCCGAAGCCGACGGTGCTGAGACAAACTCCGCCCACGATACCAGACGGGAATCGCCGTCGAGGGTCCTTCTCGAAGCAGCGTGGGATCGGTCCTTCGCACCTGGCTGTTCCTTGCGACGGGCCATCTCAGCGCTCTCGTCTATTAGCACCAGCCGACCGTTGGCCAGCAGATTGGCCAAGGCGGCGTTACTCTTGCTCACGTCATCCTTCGTGAGCGTGTCCACCGGCATCCTGCCGTGCGGCACCCATCGTACGTGGCCCCGGGCTCTCTCGAGGGTCTCACACACCCCCGCCAGATCCAGGGCTGTGCGCCTGTCTCGGGCGCTGGCGTTGCCCTCCTTGAGCATCGTGTCGTAGATGCTTTTCGCGTCTACCACATGAACTTGATCCACTCGACCGCCTAATCGACAGTCCCTCCTGAGAACTGTCGTGAAAGGTCCCGAACCCCTGGACGTGTCATTCACATCAACGTCCCTGAAAACCACGTCCCGGTACAACACCTGCAGAAATTCTACTTCTGCCACGGCGGCAGAGAGGGCCTGGGTTTCCCCGGCCAAGGTCGAAGAAACCTTCCTACGCAACTTGGAACTACGCCACCCCAGCACGGAAGCCTTCACTGCGCAGTTATCCAGCACGCTCCTGTCCGTGGCAAGGATCATCCACGCGCCCTGGGTGGGGTCCTCAGGGAGACCCCTCTCGTCCACGAGTCCTTCGTTGGCTCCAACACCCCCGGCATCCGAGAAAGACACGAACGCCATGCGGTCAGGGTCGAGCTTCCAAATGCTGAGGCCTCTGGAGGCCGTTGATCTCAAGTACCGCACCATTCGATTGGCAATGGTAACGTCACCCGTCGTAGCGTTCTTAAGCCTGCTAGCTAAGATACTGGCCGCTCCGGCCGCCTCGGGTCGCGTCTCTCGCCCGACCCAGTTAAGCTTATATATCAGAGAACGGAGGGACTTGAACTCAGCAGGAGTGAGAGGGGTTTTCTTTAGCCCAAGCCTCCCGCGCTCCATGCTCACTGGCCTGACCTCCTCTAGTATGTACTTCTCTTGATCGATGAGGGTCCGGTGGGGAGCGAACGACACACGCCTCCCGGCATACTCGACTGGCCCCTCGTGGCAGTCGCGGTACTTCCCGAATCTGAACCGGGACTCGAGCACCTGACGAACCCATGTGCGAGTCTCCCGAGAACTGCTGGATATGAAGAAGTCATCCACCTCTAGAAGGATCATGTTCAGAATGGCCCCGTCGGGGCCGTATCTGATCCACCAGCACGGTTCGAGTAGGCTTCTCACGAAACCCTGTTTCTGCAGAAACCCGACCACGGTTTTCCTCCAAGCAAGGGGGGCATCGTCGAGCCCATACACGTTGACGAGTAAACGGATCAGGGACCCCTTCTCCACCTGGATCCCTTCGCAGGGTTCCACGTAAATCTCTCCTTGGGTCCTCTGCATCGGGTTCGATTGACAGAAGGCGTTTTTGACGTCGGCGATATCACCTAAATGACCCAAGTTCATCATGACTTGGACGAACATGAGAATTGACGTGGTCTGAGGGGTAGGCGAGTACACGAACAGTGACCCGGTGTCAGGGTCCTTGTGGCCATGGACGCACCACCTTGACTTGGCGGTGGGCTCGGCGAAGGTACCTTCCACCGGCTTCCACCGACGCACCATTCGACTGGTAATTATCCGATCCGGACAGGTGCGCCTGACAGCCTCCGCCTCCTTGGGAGGTATTACTTCCACCGCTCCTGAACCCATCATGTTCTGCCACTCCTTATCGTCTGACATCTCGAACTTCACTCTCTCCGCGGGACTGAGCTGTTTGAGGGAAATCTCCCCTCCACGGCTGGCCGCCAAGATCTCGTTGTTCCCGGAGCTCTCGACCCTTTCAACAAGTCCCAGGAAACATCCATCCTCGCTGGTCTCCACAAAATACGAAGTCCCGCCCTCAGCTTCGGTCCGGGCCTCGATCTCAGCCACCCGTCGTCCGACGAGCTCTCCCCTGGGCTTCGACTGGCTCCTCTCTCTACTGTCCCCGGCGGCGGCGGCGGCACCGGCAGCCGCAGCAGACGACGACGGAACCGAGTCGGCCTCTGCCGCCGTTGGCGGCTCCAGGCCCGGAGGAGGCTCCACTCGTGGCCGCTTGGCCTCGCTAACCTCTGGCGGGCAGCTGGCGGACCTAACGCCTGGCCCTTCGTTCCCCAGGGGTCTCCGAAAACAGTGAGGAACGTCGCTCGGCTGCTCGAGCTTAGCCCTAGTAGGTCCGACCGGCACAATCGGAGGGGGCGACAGAGGAGGCAGCGACACGGTAGGAGGAGGCTCGACCGACGGAGGGTCGACGGCTTCCCCGGGGATCCTTTCGTCGGGCCCCGGGATCGCTTGGAGATCTCCTTCGCCTGGAGGCGTACCGATACCTGATGACTCGCCTGGCTCCTCGACGCTTTCCGAGATCGAGGGAAGTCGTGTCCTCTCGGAACCCGCGTTGGCCACCGCTGACCCTCCCGCCGATGATGGTCTGGATCGAGGGCCCCGTGTCCTGAGAAGAGGAGGCCCCGTGCCGATGGGATCGAAACCGCGACCCGCGGAGGGAGGGCCCACCGGGCCCACAGGCTCGGCCACCTCTGGCCCGGCCCCGGGTCCCGCCAATTGAGGAGCAGAATCAGACCCCGGCGACAGAGGTTGATCCCAAGCCTCATCGGGTGGGGGGCCTTCTCGCTGTACGTCCACAGCCGACGCCCGTCTGGACTGTGCCTGGGCCATAAGCTCGGACCACTGTGGATCTTGGGCCACTTGAATCCCGAACTCTTCCTCGGGACTGGCGTGCCGCACCTGTTCGGGGGAGCACTTCCACAGTCGGGCTCTTACCGCCACCCAGACCGTTCCCCTCTCGGCCAACACCACGACCCCGGGTCCCGTCCAAGCGTCTCGCCTGCGACCCAGCGTGTCCGCCCGCGACCCGGCCCGAGTGAGCCTGCGCCACACAAACACCCACTGGCCAGGACTGAAGGTGGTCTGGGACGGTCCCTTGGCCTTGCTGGCCTTGTGTATCTTGTCTCGAGCGGTGGTCTCCATGGCCAGACGGCGAGCGACATCTCGGACTCTCTGAGATCGGGCGAACTCCGCACCGGCCGAATCCTGTTCGGACGGTGGCCGCAAGCAGTCTTGCCATCCGGGAAGGCCCATGTGGTCATCCGACAAGATTTCGTGTGGCAGGCGGGGGTTCTCTCCGAAAACCAGCTGCATGGGCGAAAAGCCTCCCCGGTGCCAAAACCTGTTTTTGTGGGCACAGAGCTCATGGATGAGCTCGTCCAACTCCTGCACATCCCCGGGCAAAGCAGAACCAGCCTCCACCTCGCTTTTGATTCGTTCTTTGATCCAACCCCCGTGACGCTCGACTCGGCCGTTCTGCCAGGGGGAGTTAGCGTCACAGACGTGATGCAGTACTCCCCATTGCTCCAGGCCGCGAGCAAATCTCTCTTCGAACTCGGGGCCCCCGTCTGAGAGAAGAAAGTGAGGAGCGCCGAATGGCCTTATCCAAGCAGAGACAAAGGCGCGCCACACAAGAGAGGCCTTGGGTTCCTCGACCCGCACACATATCTGCAGGTTGGATCCGTGATCGACAATATTGAGATAGGGCAGGACCTTGTCCTGATATGGAACATAAAACAAATCGACACCCACGATGTGGTTAAAACGGAAAGTCCGCGGCATGGCAACTCTGCGATGGCTGCTGGACCGAGCACGCTCGGCACACTCTGAGCACTAAAAGGAATCGCGGACCCACCTCAGAATATGGACCTTGACTCCCCCGGCCCTCAGGACTCGCACGAATTTCCTATTGCACGGGTGCCCCATGTTAACATGCAGCCGAAACACCAGCCTCTTTTCGGTCTCCGATGGGTCCGGAAGAGGTTCGCTCACCTTGGCGCTGCTGGGAAGTCTGGTCTCGGGCACATCTTCGTCCTCACTTCCCTCCGGATCCTCTTCCTCGTGACCCAAACCTTCATCTCCTTCGGGAAAGTCTCCCTCCTCGTACTGGGCCCAAGTCACCGGCCGTGGTCGACGAGGTCCGCTCCACTCTTCTGTCACCGCGCGAGCCACTGCCTCCGCAAAGGCCGGAGGATACTCTTGAGCAGAGGAGGTCCTATTCTTACCCTCAAGCAGCACATGTCTGTGATCCCCCGGACAGAGGTGCCCCTCTAGGATCTCCTGGAGCCTGGGGTGGTTCGTTAGAATCCCGGTCGGCTTTTTGTTTAGCCCGTCTCTGGTCACACTCAGACCGAAGGTGCACATATCGACCCGTGTCCTGCGGACCCCGGGTAGACTAGACACGAGCTGCACTACCTTAGTTGCCCAAGAACTCGCGAACAGGGGGTGCTCAAAAGCAAAGTACCGATCTCTCGTCACCCGATCGCTAGCTATCTCCATACACAAGATAAGATCATTTATGCCCTCGATGATCGCTCGCTTCCACCTGATCGGATCGCGAACCGCCTGACTGATCCTGCTGATGATCGAAAAGGTC